CACAACCCGTTTTCCTTTTGTGTTTGTGTGTCTTTGGTCATTTTTGGTTTTGTGTTGGGTTATAATCGAGTTCAAATCATAAAATTCGTGTCGAGTTTGAATCGTGTTGTCGTATTGAGTTGGAAATTGCCACCCCTAAGTAATCTGTTATATGGATATCTCGATCTCTAATATTTCATAGTCCTAAAAAGGTTTGGACTTCAAATAATACATTTACTTGGAAACTTACATAGGGTGCATGTATAACTAGGATTCTAAAGCAAGAAACTTAAGCCATAATACAAAGATTTGACTGGAAAGACAACCTAGGGGGTCATATAAATAATCAATTCCAACCAATCTGTAAATTATTAAAGTATCCATGATTCTACAAATAGAAAAAGAAACACATACTACTATTGCCAACAAACTAGCTTAGTTCAAAACTAAGACTCAAACTAGACTCAAATAAAATTGTGAGGTTCTAGGTACGTCTATTTAGGTGGCAAGCCAAATTCTATATGTAACGTTTTTGCATTTGTCTTTTCTCGAGCATTTTATGGATTACATCATCCCCAAGGAAGTAAGAAAGAACAAGTTCTCAAGTTTTAAAAAAGTTCTTTCAAAGGCCACACGAATCAACACTTTTCTTTGCGTTACTTAGCTAGCAACCATACTGATCCGACTTGAAGACATCGGATGGAGATTGTGTTGACTTAGTCACTGGATTTAACAGTCGTTTATCTAGTGACTCTTGAATCAAGTTCATAAGCTTTGAAGTTGCATTGTGGCTGTTCCTGAGAAGTGTTATGATTACGCCTACTTTCTTATTGAATTGAGGAAATAAAGAAGAGATTTAGAGATTTATCTTCTTGATTGTGCCGTTGATGTCTTTGGAATGACATTCAATTCTTGGAGTGAGGTTAATAGAAATCAATCCATGGATTGATATTGAACAAGAATCCTAGTAGTGTACCCTCCAATTGTAGCTTCCTCCTTAATTTTGTATTAATCAAATTGCAATAGTTTTTTATTTAATCTTTTTGTCAATGGTGATTTTTTTTTTTGATGGTGTATTGATCCTTTTTTTTTTTATTTATGGAAACAACATTTTATTAATGATAAAGGGAAACATTATAAAAAAAACCACATCAAGTGTGGACAAGAGGTCCAACACAAGACTGACCAATGAGAACCTTAAAAAAAGAAAAAGAGCAATCAAAACTACAAGTTACAAGATATTTTTTCAGCTTGTTTTAATGCAAAAATGAGTAATATCTTGAGACTCCTTGGACAATGAAGTCCAAAAAGAGGCAAAAAAATAAAGTCTTTTTCAAAGCCCCTAAAATTTTCACATTTATCTTAAAAAATTCTCATATTCCGTTCCTTCTAAATTACCCATAATGTAGCAAAGAAAGCTCCGTGCCAAATGATATTTCATTTTGTGTTTCCCCTACACTCCACATCATCCAAACAAATCATAGATTTCATATTCCTTGGAGCAACCCAAACAAAGCCCATAAGGTCAAAAAGCTTGTTCCATGATGCTCGTGCCAAAGGACAATGCAAAAATAAATGATCCACACTCTCATTATCACCTCTACACATTACATACCATTGTTGTTGAAGACAATAATTAGGTCTCATTTTTGAAGAACTTTATTAGTACTAATCTTATCATGAGAAATTATCCATGCGCAAACTGGCACTTTTAAAGGCACCGTTCCCCTCTAAATCTTCAATGATGGATAGAATAAAGGAAGTAAAGAATCATTGATAAGAAACTAGAAAAGAAGACTCACTGACTTCGAAATTTTCTTATCATTGAGATTCTTATGCAATCCAAAATCCCAAGAAATTAGACTAAAATGTGATCTAACCATAGAGACAACCAATTAATCATGATAATCAGAAACACAACACAAATGTTGAAAGAGACTCGAAAAAGAAGACTCTCGAATCCATATATCCTTTCAAAAACGCACTCGACTTCCATCTCCCACAATGAACTTAACTCTCAGTGAAAAGTAAGGTAACCCCTAAGAAATGAATCTCCATGGGCTTTGGAAAGAATCCCTTTTGACCCTTTTAGCATCCTACACGTTAGTCTGTACTCATACTTGCTCCTAATAACAGCATGTCGGAATGAATTTTGTTCCAATGGGAATCTCCAGAATCATTTCCTAACCAGAGCTACATTTTTTTTTACCAAATTACCAATTGAAAGCCCACCTTTTTCTTTTGACCTTGTAACCACTTCCCCATCAAATTACATGGTGTATTGATCTTCCCTTGAGCACTATTAGAAGATAGTAACATTTGTTGCTCTTTATGCTCACTTAGATTATCAGAGGACTCAACCAAATCAAGCATTTAAGACACATATGTTGTTGATTGAAAGTCGTCACTAGGAGAAACTTCATTGGCAACTCTGTTGGCACTATTTTCTAGCATTCATATTGTATCTAAGTTAACTCTAAAGGGCATTTAGATTCATGACTAGCTGTTGGCGATTTCATCTTCTTAGGCTCTACAAGATGGTTGGAGCAGGTTCTAATGAATCTTTCGATAATTTGTAAGAAACTTTTTCTTTAGTGCATAATATTGTTTGAATATTCACTATTTATTGGAGCCTTTGGACAAATAACTCGCAAAGTAGCCTAAGACTTGTGTATATTCTTTTGAAATACTGGATTTATCTTTTCTTTGGGATGCTTTTGAGGAACATTCTCGGCTTCAAATTAGAAAGTAGGTAACTTTGATCTGTTGCCCTTGTGGAAGAATAAACCCTTGATGTATTTCGTTGATTAATAAAAGTTAAGTACATCTACATATCCAATGCTAATTAGAACACATGCTCTATGCTGTATAGAGGTTGGGACAATTCTCACTCTATTTTGGCCCTTAAACCAGCTTTAAATCAAGCAATAGCTTGACAAGGGTTTTCTATGATTCAATTTTCCAGCATTAGTTCTTCATATCTTTGAATATACTTCACTAAGATATGTTGTCTTGTTTTAGATTAGTAAGTTTCTTGCACAATTTTGCCGCAATGGTTTGAGGCCATATACTTCTCTTGAAGTTTTGCTCTCATTTCTTACATGTATTGATTAACAACAATCTTGATCTTTGTAAATCTCTTTTAATGCCAAACCACCAAATTGGTTCTATCTCTACAAGTTTTATCTTGGCAAACATCAGTCTCCTTTTTCTTGCAAAATTCTCCTCAAGAGGAGCAATCTTACCGGAGAATAATGTGGGGGCATTCCTTCCTTCAAAATCTAGGATCTCTTACGCTCTTTTTAGTATTTAACCCGCAAAACTTAGAATCATTTAGGACTGATACCAAATTTGATGTAGGCCAACATCAGACAAAAATAAACTGGAGCACCCATGAACACTAATTTTGGAGCGAGTTCTGTTTATTTGAGGGCTAGGGTTTGATGGACTTAAGGGGGAGCGTTAGGGTTTTGCTGGTAAAACTTAAAATCTTTTCGCTCTGATACCAATAGATGTATGACAATATCCAGTGTTATTTAATGAGTGAAGCGAACCAAAGCGAACAAGTATCCTAAGACCTAGGCAAGAAGTGAGAGGCAAAACGAGCACTTCACCGGAGCGAAGTGAACAATAAAAATAAATAATAAATATTTTATATCTAAACAATCACAGATGAAAATCTGGTAATTAGTACTTAACCATCATAGATGAAATCCTTTTCGTTATAAATAGGAAGCAACAACAAAAATTATATAGTTTTATACTATATCAGTCTTTTTTGGGAGGATCAATTGAACTAAGCATAAAAAAGCAGCAGAATCAAACAGGAGCAATTTAAAAACAAACACAATTGAATCAGTTTAAGCAACAAGCACAGAAAATCAGAATAATGAACCAGAAAATCAGTCTAAGCATAAATGCTTAACACAACATCGCATTAGAAGCAGAGGGGAAGGTTCCAGCAAAACCAGAAATAGAATCAACATCACAGCAGAATCAGCAGAAAAAAAAAATAGAGTAGAAGAGAAAGAAGTAGAATCAACATCATAGTAAAAAAAAAAACAGAAACACAGTAGAATATGATGAAGTAGAATCAACATCACACCAACACCAAAAAAAAAAAAAAAATTTAAACAAAGTAGAAGAGGAAGAGGTTCTAGCATAACCAGAAAATCAGAAGAAGAGGAGAAAACTTAGAAAAGAAGGAGGAGGAGAAGAAGAGGAGAATAATCATAGAATGTAGAATTAAAAAGTTTACTAAAGTGATCGCTTATTTGTTTTTGCTCTCTTTTTTCTCGCCTCGCCTACGTTTACTTCGCTGCATGTTCCATGCGACATAGGGTTGCACTGCTTCGCTTTTCGCCTTGGCTCGCATCTCACAACACAGATAACATCAAGCAAAAATAAAATGACACTATTCAAAAGCTGTGAGCAGCACCCATGAACAGGAATTTGGGGTCTGATTATGTTAATTTGAGGGCTAGGGTTTTGAATAAAAGGGAAAAGGTCAGGGTTTTGTAGGTGATTTTTGAGGGTGTAAAGAAAATACAACACTTTCGTTAAAAAATAAATCAAACTGTTGACACTTAACACTTTGATTTATTTTTTAATTTTTTGTTGTAGTGCTTATGTGTCTTATCGATATATTTGTTTTCAGTTCTTGAGATTGGCATCTTTTTTGGTCTATTCCTCTCCAGCATTTGAGGATGGGAAGACTATAATATAATTACTAATCTTCGATGATGTTGCCTTTTGGAGAATGATGCATGTATACTGCCTAACTTGTAATTTTACATCCATTTCCACTGCTATTTTTTGGTGGTGGCAAAATCACATATTGAGCAAAATATTGAGTTTGTTGTTAATTGGTGTTGCTTACCTTCAAATTATTCAGCATTTCTTTTCGACTATAGTGTCACGGTATAAGGTTAAAAGAAATGGCCATAGGTTGGTTGGAGGAGTTGAATAAAAAACAATAGGTTGTAGTATCTGCCTAGGTTGAGGTTACCATTACTACTAACATGGTGGTGTTTTGCCTCCCTATTTTCACTTTACCAATTATGGGAAGTTCTACTTTGGATGGAATATGAACTTTATTTAAAAGGAACATGGGTATAAAAAGGAAATAAGTTAGGAGAGGATTATGGAATAAAGGGAGGATTTAAGTTATATTTTCATTTGTTTTTGCAGTGAGGCTTACAATAATCTAAAAAAGTAAGTGTGTTGCTTATTTATCCTCATAATAATTTATTTGGATCAACTGCAACTGTTGAGAGTTTTTTGAAGGTAACAAGAGAGCACAGTTTTTGCTGTGGTCTCCACCTGGCTGTGTGGCTGTGGAGATGGTTTTTAGATAAATTTTCCTTCTATGCTAGCAAAATGCATGCTAAATATTATATGTTGGATTGTAGTGTGCTATGAAGTATGGACACGGTTACGATACGGATACGACCATACAATAAAATCTAAAAAAATAGAATATACGATCAAGATACGTCTGTAACAAAATATATTTGGTATGTTTACTATTGTCTGCTAACTTAATAATTACATATTTTGGTAATTCTTTAACATAATAAGAAAAATTATCCATTTTTTTCTATTTTTAAAAAGGAATATATCATATCATTATGGTATATTCACATAATGAAGTAATTAATTAAATGAATCAAAAGGAGTATTTACTTAGTTGGTTTGTTTAGAAATATTTGTAACTAAGATTATAATGTAATAGATTTATTTTATACTATTTTGACATGTAATCGTAAATAATATTTAAAAATGCCCATGTGTCTTCAATGTAGTATGCATTTTTTGTTAATGTATTATGTGATATGTGAATTTGAAAGGAGTTATTAAAGATTAAATTCAAAAATTGTACACATTGCTATGATACAAAAATATCTCCGAAGTATCCAAATATTTTATAATCATCGGATACGTAAGAGGAGTATCCGATACGTATCGTATTCGATACGGGTACATTGACCTCAACGAAATATCCATATTTTTTAGGTGGTGTGGTATTTTTTCAATAAGAAACAAAAACTTTTATTAAGTAAAATGAGATGTACATTTTGGTGGATGAGGAATCCACCCCTTGAAATGAATAACAAAAAGAAAAGAAAAGCATTATAATACAGTATTTTAGTTATATCATCAAAGAAATAAGGGGATGATTATCTAACGACATGCAGCTATCTGGTCGAGACGAATTGCAAATAAAGGCACATCCTTAAACTCCTTTGTGGATGCTCAAAGAGAAGCCAAAAACTTTACCCTATCCCGAAGGATTTCCCAATATTTTTCTTTATCTTCAAATGTTCTCTGATATTTTTCCTTCCACACTACACAAAAAACTGCCATGACCATATAATTTCGCAAATCATTACTTTTTCCCCCATCAAAAAGACCATAATGTACCTCAATAGAGCCGCATATCCACCAAGAATAACCAATCCCAAACTAAACTCACCAATAGCTTCATGCCACAACTTCAAGGCTATTAGACAATGGAAATATAGATGGTCTAATACTTTCAAAACACCCTATTACACATAACACACCAATACGGGGAGAGACTGCTAGATTATGGTTTTTTCACCTGAGAGACCACAATGTACCTCAATTTCAAGGCTTGTGGTGGGGTATTTTACCGTATTTTTTATTTTATTTGCTTGGATCTATGCATCTGTGCATTTTTTAAGACATCACTTGGAATAGTATTGAGCAGCTAATATCAATGTCTGAAAAAATTGGTCCTCTAGGTTGAAATTTGCAGGACCTTTTCCCATTTTTGGTCCCTTGTCTATGTAAGGTACATTTGCATGTTTATGTCTGATCATTGGATATTTTTCTTTTCAGGCATTGAATGCTTCAGAGAAACCAAAACCTAAGGTTGGTCAACTGCAGCATCCGATCTCATCTTCTAACCTTGTTAATCCCTCTCCACGTGGTGGAACTGTGAAATCTGATTTTTCAAAGACTTCTAATGGGGGAAAGCTTCATGTTCTCAAACCTGCACGAGAGAGAAATGGTGTCTCTTCCGCAAAAGACAGATTGAGCCCAACAAGTAGTATGAAAGTAGCAAATATCCCACTTGCTATTGCTCCATTAGTTTGTGGAACTGCTCGATTAGGCAGCTCAGGAAACAACCCAGCCCTTGCCACTGCTGATCGCAAACCTGCTCTGGCAACGTTGGAGAAGAGACCCACATCTCAAGCCCAGAGCCGGAATGATTTTTTCAATCTTATGAGGAAGAAATCTATGACGAACTCCTCTTCTGCTGCTGCTGATCCTGGTTCTGCTGTGTCACCATCTGCCTTGGATAAATCTGGTGAAACAGCAGTTCCCACTGCTTCTGTTGCTGCTCGGAGTACTGATGCAGCAGATGACCCATTGCCAGATGGCTCTACTAGGAACCAATCACTGGAGAATAGGGGTGAGTTGACCTTAAATGGTGCTGCTTATGATGGGCCACAGGAATCTATTGACAATGGAAAGAATCATTCTACATCTGATGCTATTCTTCATTCAGAGGAGGAAGAAGCTGCATTTTTACGTTCTTTGGGTTGGGAAGAAAATAGTGGAGAAGATGAAGGCCTTACTGAGGAGGAGATCAGTGCTTTCTACAGGGATGTAAATAAGGTAGCTTGCTTTCTAAAAACATGACACAACTAGGCCAAAATTAAGGAGTTTCATTGATTTTGTAATTTATCCTAGTCATGTAATTGTAAGTAGTTGCTTATCTAACTGGACTTATTTTCTAACAAAAAATGCATTTATTTTGTGCAGTACATCAACACAAGGCCATCTTCGAAAATTCTCCAAGGAATGCAGCCGAGGTTTTTAGTGCCTCTCAGCTCACAAATGAGGAGTGTTTGTGGTGTCTCTTCCGGGTTAAGCCCATCTGACTCTAAGCTGGAATCTTAATTAAGAAACCTCTTACTGGGTTTAATAATCCTTAATTGATGGTGCTAGAGGTTTCTATTTTGCTTTTTATTTATTTAGTTGATACAGAAATGGAATTTTGAGAAGCCAAGAAGGCATTCAAAGAAGGTAAAACAGGGATTCTGACACCCTTGCCATTTGGTGGAAGTGAATTGGAATAAGTCACAGATGGCCCTGTCCCCAGGATGACTTCTGATATGATGTGCCAGTTTCTTGACTTCTAGAAGTTTCTGATGGTTTACAGATTGAGGTAGGTGAAATAGGAATAGGTTTTATAAAGCCGCTAGGGGAAATTGTTTGGTGTGCAAAATCTGGGTTTTTGTCAGTTTTCTGGTTCCTTCAACAAATAGCTTATGATCTCTTTAGTCATTCTAAGAAAAGAAAGAAATGAAATTTATTTCCTCATGTTCATTGTTAATTTTGCTTTCCTTTTGTTGTTGTTGTTGTTGTTATTATGTTTTAGTTTCAGATGCCCTAAAGGTGTGGTGCTGTACTCACACAAACGCATCTCACAACCAATGGGTAAATCTTCTTGCTCTTCCCATGGAGATTTTCTTGGAGTTTATGTCCTCCCATTTAAATGGGATCTGTGTGTTAGTCCTTCAAGTTGATATTATTTTCTCACGCTGGATGTGGAGAGGGGATCTGAATCAGGTCTATCTTTTCTCCGGATGATAAGTTTCTTATTATTTTGAAATCAAATGGCAAATGCTCTATGGATTCATACTAAAATGAGTTCTGAAAGGAGCATTTGTTGGCCCATATTCTGCAATTCTTAAAACTAGAAGATGATGATTGTAATGTATCTAGATGGGTTGTGAGTTTTGACCATAGTTGCAGTAGTTTGGATGCCAACTATTAGAATGAATTGAGTTTTGGCAACTCTTAACTCATATTACCACTTGAGCTGTAGTGGTCTAGTGGTAAGTTGTACTCGTTTACACCGTCATTGACTTTCATGTGGTTATCAAATGGGATTTGATTTTGCGGTTTATTGCATGTCTTTAGTAGTGTTGTGGTGACGAGTTACTCTTTCAAGTCGGTAGTTATTATGGATCAAACTGAATATTTCACAATGGGAGAGGGGTTATTACTTACTGATCACTCCTCCCCTCCTTTCTTCACAAGCAAAAAACAAAAAAAAAAAAAAAACTCTTAACGAGTATTATCAACCCTATATACTTTACTATCTAAGAAAGGATAGATCTTGACATAACGATAAAAGTTTGTGTATCTTCATACAATGAAAAGGCATTTTCATTTTGATATGAACACCATGGATTTGAGCCATTTACGAGGTTTTTTGTGACTTGAGATTTAGCACGCACGATTCTTCTCAGACTTTGCAATAGCGGGAGTACGTGGTTATGCGACTGTGCACAAGTATGACTACAATGTCTTTTTGCCCACCATGAAAGGCATGCTCGTCTTTTTCGGATGACGTAGGCATTGTTTCAGCTCTATATCTAGCAAGGGACTGCCTTTTTTCTAACTTGTACATAGAATTAAATAAGATATGTTATAAACTTTCTTCCAAATGTATGGTTTAGGAGTGTCAATTTTAACCATCAATCAAGACCTAATTCGACACGAGACGAATAAAAAATAGGTCAAATTAATGTTAGACACGAGTAACGTGATTAACGGATATTGTATATAGAAAATAGGTATATAATAAGTACTGTAGACAAAAAATAAATATTTAAAATTTTTAAATAATATTATATAAGTTGTACAATTAAATAATTTTTTATTAACAAGAATATTGATATTCACACAAACACGACATGACGCTCTTTAAATTATTCACTTTTTCATATTATTATTAATTTAAGTTTTATAATATCTCAATCGTTAATTTTTATTTAATTTATATGATAAATTAAGATAATAATAAAAGTTTACTTAACTGTAAAGAGAAACACCACATAAATTAATATTGTAAAGTTCAATTTTTAGGTTGATCATCTGTCAGAAAGGACAAAAGTTAATCATTGGAATATAGTAAAGCTTAAATCAATAATTTATAACATAATATGGGTAAATTAGTAAAATTTAAAGTTCAATGCAGAATAAGGAACATACTTTAGAGGGTGCAAGTGTAATTTTCCCAGGAGCATATATATATATATATATGAAGCTCTCCAGTGGTCTGGGAATAGCAACATCACAGATTCACAGGCGAAAAAAGTAAGTTCAGAAACAGTGAAGAAGCAATTTCTTTCTCCTGATCCTTACGGACGCCATGGCGTCCAAATCCTACGAAAAAATCGCTGATATCTGCGACGAACTCATGCTTCAGGTAAATTCCGGAAGAAATCGCTGAGTGTTTCTTCACTTGAGAATATGAACTTACACATACATTTAGATTTCGGTTATTGTGTTTCAAGTTGAATGGCCGTACGCGATTCATCTCTACTCTTAGGTCACATTTAGGACCGGAAATTGAGCTAGAGTTTGAATAAATTTTTACACACACAGAAAATGAGGTTTGATTTGTTTATACGTGAAAAACGAGTTTAGGCTCAAACTCAGTCTCAACTCATTAGACCCGTTTAAAAAAACGCGTTTGATATGTTCGATTTGAATTCATAAAATTTGACTTAATTAACAACGCTAATCACATTTACGTCCTTGACATGTAAGCGAATTCCCTCTATCATACTTCTCCGATTAATTTGGTTATTTAGGGAGGTTAGAAAGGGGAGGTTGGAACAAATATATTTGACTAGCTAGTGGTACTTTCAACTCAATTTTTAGGAGTGTTTTGATCTCGTTTGACTACTAATAATCTCGACGTTTCAGGTTTAACACGTTCTGTACCTCTTAAGGTTCATCTATATTTGTTCTTTAAATGATATATTCTAAATCAGTTTGAGCTATTATTACTAATATCTAAGTTTAAAGGAATAATTAGAAGAAGCTTATACACTTGTTGTTGATCTAATAATTCTAATAAAATCGCATCATTATATTAATAAATATCGCTTCTAAACAATCCGGAGCGTCATTATATTTTTTAACTTCGAAAACGGTATGTTTTATTATATAAATTCAACAACACAAAACAAGTAGGGCAAAAAAACTAGCAGAACAAGAATGGAGAGTTATGAATATGAGATCCACAAAAAGATGATGTTGGTAACTTAAACCTCCATTAATACCGATCCTGCTCCCTGCTTCGCACAGCACACATGAAAATGGGTTAAAGACTACCCTATTGAAATGAACTCTTTGCGTGCCAAAATAAAATTATTTTGGGATCAAACCGATGAAAATGTAATAAACAACAATGTAATCTGTTTTTAATGACTATTTTTTGCATAGATGTTCAATTTTTTTGTATCTGCAGCTCCATGCTTAGAACATGAGAGGCTAAAAAGAGCTAACTACAAAAGTTTCATATATCTCTCTTATCTAAACGAGCGAGACTTTTTTCATTGGACTTTTCATTTGAAACTAGACTTGTAGAGAGACCCCACTTTAGATCCTACGAGTTTAGTTTCTGAATAATTCTGCCTTATTCTCTTAGGTAAGTAAGTATATTCTCTTTTCCTCCTTAATAGCTACTGAGAGTTCATCTTGCTCCTATATTTTTCTCTTATTTCTTCTACTAGTCCTACTAGTATCTTTGAAATGCTATTGTCTTACTCTTCCTTCTCCCTCCTAACACCCGTGGTATATGTTCTCTAAGATGGGGTAGCTTCCTAGAGAGTGAAGTCTTTACCCCTAGCCCTAGCTAAATGTAGTACTATGCTCCTTAATAAACAGAAAAATGGGTATATTTTAAGCCAAATCATACCAAAAAAGTAGGATTGGTGAAGAAACTGTTTGGATATAGAATTACCATCAAAGAATTAACTCAAACTATGAGGCTATTTCTTATAATAATCCGAAAATATCAGGAGAGCAATGTAATTCAACGCTATAGTCTATTTTCAACCCTTTTTTTTTTTTTTGTCAGTCTAGCATTATTAATAGTTTTACTAAGCTGTGTTTAATCGATTTTAGTCAATTTTGTGTTCATTTATTTATTTGACAAGTTTGCTAAATTTACAGGTTTTACCATCCCATTGTAGTAAAACTAAACTTACCACCTTTAGCACATCAATAGGAAAAGAAAAAGTAAAAAAAAGATTAAAATATAAATAAAAATATTGACTCCACAGGGAGGAATCTAAACACCAAATCAGTACTGTTCATAAAGCAATACAGTAAGCCAGCTCCTCCTCTTCTTCCTCCTCCTCTAGCAGAAATGAAAAGACATTATGGGTTTCACATCTCCACCTAAGAAGAATTGAAGGATCAGGTCTTGGTGATGACCCAAATAGCCTAGATAATTCCAGGTAGCCAACCAAAGATAGTCAGCAACACACAGATTCAGAACTCTATCTGGCAGCCAAACTTGAAAAAGACACCAAGGGGAGGCAAGATGATGTCTATGGATCTCCATGCCAAATTTATCAATCATGGGTTCACGAGATGTGTGAAGAATTGAGACGCCTGCAATAGCCCCCCCACCACCCACCACCCACGCAACCAAAGCATGCAAACACAAACAAACAACCCATGCACACATGCTTTCTCTTTCAAAAACAGTTTCCCCGATTGCGTTTATCTAACTTTCTTCAGACCCACAATATACTGGGTACGCCCTTTTATTTCTTGAATATTTTATGCTTAAAAATCACCGAAAAACCCGAAATGAAACCATGAAGAACACCAGGGGCTTCCAATCCAATGAGAAAGAACAGTTAATTTCAAAATTCCAATCCAGAATGAAAATACTAGAACCAAAAGTATCTACAATTCATCAACAACAACGCTCTCTATCTCTTCCCTATGATCAGGTTGGTAATTTACAGAAGCAGATACGAGAAGGAACAAGATCACATACGTACAATGATCATTGATCATCATCTCCTGGTCTTCATGCCATGCTTGCCGATCATCAAAGGCTTCGTCATTCTGTAGAGATCAACGATGGACCGAAACTTCGACTTCGACTTTCTCTTTCTTCCCGAGCACGTTTCCTTTTCGAAATTCTTGGTGGGACTCTCAATCTCAATCATAGCGGAAGATACATCATCTGTATCGTCGTTGCTTTGATTTTCATGTTTCAATTGTACAACGTCGATGGTGCTATTATCGTTATCCTTGTCTTCCGAATCGCCGCTGAGTTGAATTAGCTGTAAAGCTGCGTCCAATTCTGGCTCTGTGAACCTCAAACTCAAACCCTTCTTCTCATCATCAGTTCTTTTCCTTTTCCTTCTCATCTTAGATGGTGATTTCTCCATTGAAATTGCAAATCAAATCAAATCGAAAGAGAGAGAGAGAGAGGAGTTGGTTGATCCTCCTCCTAATAGGATAGCAAGCAGAAGCAGGTGAGTTGGATTTGGAAGAAGAAAGAAAATATTCTTGGAAGCTTTGTTGACTTAGAGGTCTCTTCTTAAGGCGGTAATTGTGTTGTAGACACCAACCTTTATATAGACTTTGGACAGACTCATCATCCCAAATCCCAATCCACCGCCATTGAAACCCACCTCAATTCTGTCTCTACGCGTCTATCTTATTTGTACGTCGCGTGGGTAAATATACATATACGTATATACATACACATACACATACCCACACAGAGAGAGAGAGAGAGGAGGAGGATTGTGTAATTAGCACGACAAGGCCAAGTCTTAATTGGACCAGTTAGACTTTTTAATTTTTATTTATAATTTAATAATACTATCTATAATATAAAACGGGGCAGACTTCAATAAATTAATCAGACGATTTTAAATAAACTAATCCAATAACCACAAACATTCCTTTCAAAACCGTTCATATTGCACCGTGCCTTCAAATACCAATTAACCCTAGTTTATATCTAATCAGAGACATAACAAAAGTGATATAAAAATTTATTTTATTTTATTATTTTTATGATTAATGACTACAAGTAATTTAAATTAAATTCTACTGTTGAGAGTTATTTTTTAATATAATATTAAAAAGTATTTTCCAATTGTATAGCGTTTTATCTTACATTTATATTACCAAGAATGTGAATAATCAAACCTATTGTCAAAAGAAAGAACAATGTTATATAGATTTAAAAAATAAATTTAATAATTATAACTATTGATTTCATTGTGGGTTCTAACATTTATAGAAATTCACTACCTACTCGATGGTTGTAATTATGCTCTCTCTCTCTCACACACAAAAACAAACATTCACACACACACATACACAAACATTTAACGTTGACCGGTGAAGGGAAAAAAATCTGACAAAGTAGATAAATGTCAGACATTCATTTAACATGTACAATTTTGTATTAGTAATATACACCATATAATACTATGAGGCATTTGAATTACCCCTTTTTGTTGGAATAACTACAAGAGTTGGATATTGCTGGTGGAATGTGTACCAGATAGCAAACTGTGTTAAATGATCACAATAATAAACTTTTAAGTTTATATATGAGGCATATATGAGGCATATATGAGGCATTTGAATTACCCCTTTTTGTTGGAATAACTACAAGAGTTGGATATTGCTGGTGGAATGTGTACCAGATAGCAAACTGTGTTAAATGATCACAATAATAAACTTTTAAGTTTATATATGAGGCATATATGAGGCATATATGAGGCATTTGAATTACCCCTTTTTGTTGGAATAACTACAAGAGTTGGATATTGCTGGTGGAATGTGTACCAGATAGCAAACTGTGTTAAATGATCACAATAATAAACTTTTAAGTTTATATATGAGGCATATATGAGGCATATATGAGGCATTTGAATTACCCCTTTTTGTTGGAATAACTACAAGAGTTGGATATTGCTGGTGGAATGTGTACCAGATAGCAAACTGTGTTAAATGATCACAATAATAAACTTTTAAGTTCCTATCCTGTAGAAGATCAGTGGTGGCCTAATGTGGGTTCCGCAGTCTGCTGTTAGACCGTTAAGTCACGGGTTTGAACTTCATCGGCCCCATCCCCTCTAATAGTTTCAAACACTGACCAAAAATAAAAGTTGCCAGCCTGTACGTTCTTGAGAAAATTTTTAAAAAAAAAAAAAAAACCAGAACTGCTACTTTTCAGATAAATAATTCTTATTGTTCGCAAATCTTACATCTATATAATGAAAATTTGATAAATACAAGCAACTATATATTTTGAGATCATCAATACAAACTCTTATCCAGTAGTTCAGATGCATCTTCTTCATTTGAGGAGCAAGGAGCGAGGGCCATCCTTGAAAATGGTGGAGGCTGCCATTGAAGTCCGGAACGCAGCCGATGAACTCCAATCTGGTTTATCTGATAGTCATGCTCCATGTATGGATACATCAGCTCAGAGAACAGAAGTGGCTTGCTTTTGTTTCCACAAAATTCAAGATTTTCGTTCGTGTCCAAGTTTGCAATTTCTGATGTGAACTCGGAGGGTCATCCCCTCTTCCTCCACCAACCTGGTGACACACCAACCATGCCCCTTCTCTTTCTCTGATCACAAAGTCTCCTGATTCCTATATTTGTCTTTCATTCCCCCATGAATAAGTATAGCCTGCGCTAGAATGAGTAATCATTATGCTAAGTGTCGAATGCACATGAAATGAATTAACATGGCAAGCGAAGATATCTGGAATGAATTAACGTGGCAGTTGAAGACTTCAGCCGACATGTATGAAGTAAAAATAGATAAATAAAATCTTGTTGAGCACAGCAAATAAAGAAATAGAAACAGTTGAATTTTGTCTTGAAATGTGCAATCCAAGCAACACAAATGATTCAACCTTACAGAAAAAAAATTAGAGATAACCTTGGACCAACATGTACTATTTAGCACGCTCGTGATTTAAAAACAGAGCCGGTTCATCTAGAAACTATTATCAGGGAAGGTTATGCCCAAAGTCAATAACTATTATGTTTACCGCTTGAGAATCTAGTCTTAGTGAGCTCAAGAACTCTCTATCATACCAAAAAAAACCACCACAAGAACCACCCATGCCCCGAACTCCATGACTGATCTCAACCTCTGCTCCTTCTCTTCAGGAATCCCAGCACACCGCTGGTTGGGATGGGTAGGCCCACCACTTTACTCTCACTTACGCCCAGGGAATGGCACGTTCACAGAGTCGGAGCCGTTTTTTACAACCACAAGAATGGACGTTCTTGGGCAGATTCCACTCTTAAACGTAAGGGATAGGGGTACAGGGGCTGCGCCAGAAATATACAAGTGAACAACAGTTTAGCATGGACTCGTCACCCGACAATTCACCCAGAAATCTGAAAATAAAAATATAAAACGAATAAGCCATGGAACGTTCTTCAAGAACCCTCTGGTTGAATTTCGTCATCTGAACTTCAATCACCTAAAAAATTATTGGCGAATTTGAATATGAACTCCATGGAATTCCCTCCAATTTCAGAACTCTAAACTCTTTTTGTAATTAGAAACTTTAAATCTTAGTTCAACAAAAACCCAAATTAAGTTGGAAATCTCAAACATGTTCCTGTAATAGAATCCAATGCAAGTAAAATGACATTCAAAGTTCTGGTAACACCTCAACAACTGTGGCCATATGGGGCTGTAAATTTTTTGAGGTGTATTATGAATATGTAAAGTGAGGGTGAGAGGGGGAAATCTGTGAGAGAAGAGAGAAGAACATACCTGAGAGATGTTGGAAATTGGTATCTGAGGATGCCGCAGGGTGCCCTGGCATCACCACTGATGTTCTACCATTCGTTGGAGGTNACATACCTGAGAGATGTTGGAAATTGGTATCTGAGGATGCCGCAGGGTGCCCTGGCATCACCACTGATGTTCTACCATTCGTTGGAGGTCAACAGAGAGAGAAGAGAGAGAGTCTGAGAGGGGGCATTCGGACGAATGGGGGATTTATAGAGGGGCACAGTGGCAATTATAAAATTTGGATGACAGCTTTTTGGTACACTCAAGCTCAGCAGCAACCCCTGATCAGCTTTGAGAATATGGCTCATTTAAGCTGTTTCATGCTTAAATTAAGCTCCAATAAACTGCAACAAACACATCAAAATAATTTATGTTAGGCTAAAAGCCATTACTGATTCTTGAACCATGAAGATCGAACTGTCCATATACAGCAGAAAGTCACATTTCAAATAAGTAATAATGACAATAAAAATTTGGTGGTGCATGGATCCAAATTGTAATACAAGCATTAGAATCAACTAAACGGATGAATACAGATTCGAGGCCGGTACTTTATTTTAAACATTGTAAACACCACCTTCCAAAAAAATAAATGTAAATAACAGGTTTCTCTGAAGGGTAAAAAGCAAAGCATGTCAAAATGATGCCAGTACTCAAACCAAAAGTGATAAAGAGAAACTCACAGCAAGAACTTTCTGAACTGGCACTCGTCAGTAAGCTGCAAGCTGAACCAAGTTCATTCATCCTGCCTACAGAGCAGTCAGAAGCATTGACAAGATCAAACCCATACAGTGAATGCAAAGTTAATCTTTCTCAGGAAGAAGTAATTATTTCACTAAGATCATGATTTTTATACAATATCGCATATCATGATTAACAAGCTACACAAAATCAAGCATGAAAAATCTACGCATCAGTAGCTATGCAAGTCTATATTATTTGTCACTCAAGAAAACAGTTTGGTGTCTAATTAATTACATGCAGTCTCCCCTATATTATGGAAATAACATATAAACCCTTTAATGTTCTCAGTTTAAAACAAAAATATCCTCTAGATTGACTCCATGTACACCCTTGACATTGCCATACTGAAATAAAGATCTTTAAATTTTGTATGTTGAACAAAAGCACTCCTGCCTTAAATTGGCCAAAAATTAAGTTTTGAAAAGCAGCTGCTGCACCCATATGACATGTCCAGGAGTTCCAGTGACAGCCAAACAACTTTGCTGAATTGGTAGCAAAGCAAACCATGGCAAACGAGAAAAGGTAAAGAATGTGACAAAATAAAACATAGAAATACACAAAGACAAAATCACACAATTATCTGGTATCAGATAGTTATTTAACAGACACCATCAAGTTCACAATAGTAGTGGGTGAAAATTATTGCCCAATTTTTAAGCCAAAAAATATTCTGGACCCAAATACAGCTGCTATACATGATACCATATAATCAAGCTCCAAAATCAGATAGAAAAAATACCATTAATCATTTCAGAAAATAGTCATAAGCAATCATTATAATACAGGTAAAGTAAAATGCGTTGACCCTAGTTAGATTTACACTTCAAGTATGACAATGAGAAATTAAGGAAATAT